ACGCCTTGGTGTTGCTGTTGTCTAGTTTATTTAGTCATGGTGCTTACATTGATAAGTTTAGACACATTTAAGGAGAATGTGTCTGGACCTATCACTTTTAATTGGGATCATGCAATACCTTTTATATGTATCATCATACATCCAAAAGTATCCAAACATTTATGGATATTAATAAGACATAGCTTTTCAGTGAAAAAATAATGTCAGATCAACCCGTCCACCTTTTGGATAAAGCATTAGTTTCACAAATACCCTGATAGGAAGGGCCAAGTAATAGGTAGATGAAATCCTCTTTTTTATGCACTAAGTTATTCTATTTACCCGAAATACAGGCATTAAGCTTTGACACTAAACACGTGTGCGAGCCTTGGGAGCCTCTCAAGCGTGAAAACACCCTTACCTGGTGTTAAACCTAAAATTACAGCTAATATCCTGAATCGCTTAAAGGTGGGGTCTGAATACCCGCCACAACAAAGAATTGTGCTTATCCCAAATTTCCAACTGGCCAGTTACTTTGTGGCCCCACTATATTGGAAATGGTATTTTGCACATGACAAATGGGATTTTGCATTTTAGATATGCGCCACATGCAAGACTAGATGATCAGGATTCTGTTCCTAGTTGTAAGAAGAAGTTTAGTAGTTTTGCACTTTTCACCTCATAGGCAAAGAAAAGGATGGGGAGGGGTGCCAAAAAACAAGATTTTAGATTGTATGAATGAGATCTGTCTGCATTCAGTTTTGTTTCATGATTTGTTGTAACATGTGTATCATTTATCAAGTGTTTGAACCCAGATAGTGCTTTAATATTAATCATTATTTTCATTTAACCTGAGGACATTTAGAGATATTTTGGCAGGCAGATATGGAACAATTATAACGATGTCTCTGATCATTCTATTTGTGTCTTTGTTTATCTTAATAATCTAGTACAGAATAGCTGGCCTTATTTACTGTATGTACACTCAAACAAACACATAGCCCTCTCTGAATGTTTGTTTTTGACACAGCTGTTTTTCATGTTTTCAACATCATTGGCCTCATTCCCACAATTTTCAGATATCAACACCATGACTTTCTAGACTTTTATGTTGCTCTGGAGTTTCTCCAGTTTTTTCCTTGAACATGGGTGAACATTTTAGAGTGTGGGTTCAGTAGATGATAAGGATGTATTGAACAAAACATAATAATGAGCAAGTCTACCTTTACCTTTGGCTTCACCCAATTTGAAATATTTATCCGCATTGCCTGATTCTCTGTTCGGTCATTATCTACTTTCAAATCAGTCATTGGGTGGAAAAAGGGTAGGTAAATTAAAGGGGCTTGATGCAAGATTAGTTTTGTTGCTCTTAAGGCATCTTTATTAACAGTGTCTATATAAGAGTTATATTCTAAGGAATTAAAGCCTTATTTGAACAGAATAGTGTGCTGAGCAGTCTGCTCTATCCCTTGGAATATAACCCGAATAGAACTCTCAAGCCGGGTCTCAAGCATAAGATAAAAAGGGCCTCTAATTAATCTGAATGTTGCGATGAGTATCAGAATGCAACAGTTGTTGCTTTTTCTCAGATTTTGATGTATAAGATTAGTTGGTAAATAATCATGCTAATAATTAGAAAATACCACCATTTCCTCCTTGTATTAATGTTATGTAAAAATTAATTCAAATATACAGCAAAGTCATTTATTGCTATTTTATATCCATCACATCTTTTTTCTTTTGACACAAGATGATTATTTCAAGACTTGAGAAGCAAGGACATGTCATGGTGTTACATTGAACCTATTTTCCCATTGTTTAAAGGCTTGTTATGGCCTTCTAAAGGTATAGTACATAAAGTATGTATGTCTTATTGATTCCAAGACTGGTTATTCTGTAATAGACATGAAAGACGTCTTTACTCGGAGCCTCAGTACAAAATCCAAATCAATGTTTGAGCAATGAGCTGTCTACAGATGATTGGATGATTATAGAATTGATTGCCTCAGAGGCATTCTTGATGAGGCCCTTGGTAACGTGAAATAGATGACCCAGATGACCTTGACCTTAGATCAGTATTAATGATGACAGTTACATCAAACGGGACAAACTGAATGCAGTTTCATTTTAAGCTAACATCTGAATGGGTTAGACGATTCTAGTCTAGCATCCCTGCCCCCACTGCTAGTAGCTGTCACAACCCGCGTCATAAATCAATTCAAATTTACCCTGTTGCCGTTTTCTCAACCAATCAGTGATCAGAATGAAACACATTTCAATATTGGTCAATTCTGGGTCGATGGTGGTCAATTCTGGGTCAACTGTGATGTCAGAGGAAATGACCATATATAGAAAATCATCCTGGTGACAACAAGTTCTGGTTGACTTGGCAGGTTGTTCTGAGAGTTTCTAACTTTCTTGAAAGAACGTTTTAGTATCAAAGCTTTTAAGTAAAACATGAATTGCCTCAGTTTAAAAATTATGACCTTGACCTTTGGCTGATATTATTGAGTTTTACCCTAGCCATGAAATTGATGACCCAGAACATAAAATCATTGAAACTGAATTAAATCTCTAAATATGAGGAAAGCTAAGTTGAAACACAAGTATGTATATAGATGCATAATAGCATAGCTATCTATAAAATTGGCAGCTTATATCAGTATAAACAATAATTTTGATTACAGACGAGTTCTGGTATCTTTTCTGTCATCAACAGTCAGAGACTAATTATACTAGATATTTCCCAGAGGCAGGAATTGTATTAATTGTTATCATTAATACAAGGGCTATCAATACATTATTTGATATTTTATGATTTTATTCCTAAGGAAATTAAAATGTGATTCATCTGTAATTTTGTGTATTATGTATTTACATTACTTCTGAGTTCTGAATGAAGGAAACATTGATGAATTGTATCGCAAATTCAAAAAAGCAAATGAAACATACTAAAATGTGAATTTTATTTATACTTATGTGTCTATTCTAATATATAGAATTTGCAAGGGAAATATTAATTAGGAGTATACTAAATGAAGAGATAATGACCCTATTATGACAGGTTTTAATGGAATATCTCTTGCATTTTAGCAATGCATATTCTATTAATACTGTACTGCTGAAATAAAAGCTTAAGAATTCAGTGCAAATTTTTGTTAAATAGCAAATGGCAAAAATAATGAATGAAATCAGAACCTGTGATGACGATGTGATGTAATGATGCTACATTATTCAGGGAGTTGATTGAAATAATAGTGTTCATGCAGGGGCATAATTACACATATTAATTAACAATAGACTCTGATATGTGCTTCAAACCCCTATAAATCATGCAGCATAATGTCTTCCTACTACGTAATTTCACCATATATTTATTATGTCACCACAAGTTTGGTGGTCGGTGTTCGGCATCTGTAACAAATGGCAGGTGGTGACGTTTTCCATGTTAATACCTTGTTTATTTTTGCATTTACAATCTTCCCATATTCAAGGTCTCACTTGCTACAAATGAAGATGTAGGGTTGGCTTATTTTGTTGAGGCCTTGTAATACCACAGTTAAATAGCTGCATGTAACGTATCCCGGTATCTTCTGAAGGAGAAGTCCCTCAGATCCTCAGAAGTCCCTCAGATTAAGATGACATAAAAATCTAGAAATTTCGAGTACAGTCTGAACATTTTTCAGCACAGAATTAATCCTGGTCAAATGTGAAAAAAGTGAGTCTACCAGATTGTGTAGTGTATTAAACATTTCCAAAGCACCATTAAAGGCAGAATCAGATCTATAGGGGTGGAAAAAGTATAAGCAACATGTACAATTGACCTATTAATCTATTCTTCACAATCTCAAATACAATATTTCCCAAAGGATTCTCAATATGTCAGTATGTTATAAATTGGTGAAGTTATTATGGATTCAAAGTTCAAAAATGGGTGAAATATGTTTAAATTCTCTCAAATAATAAGAATGGTTTACCATTCTTATAGAAAAATAATACATTATTGTAAAAATCTTTAGTTTTCCTGAAATTAAGAGTGTACTTTGTGGATTTTTAGAAAATAGACATGACAAGGAATGACATGAGCTAGAAATATTCTAAAATTGAAACAATTTTTTGTTGGCCTTCTCGCTAGATCTGATTCTCTCTTTAATTAATTTTCCAATGTTCTGTTCATACATAAAAGAAAGTGCATCTCATCTTTATACATGTTCATGCAAACATACTTATGTAGTATACATATCATGTCTAAAAGGAATTTACATACGAAGCATAATGAGTCACATAAGTAAACATTCTAAAGATTATGCCAAGTGTGGTTCTTAACCTAACCATCAATTGTCAATAAAACTCAAGACACCTAGTATAAGTAACCATTGCATTTCATAGCAACTGTCAAATATATCAACTGATAATTGAAGATTTCTAAGATTTTTGTATGTCCCTTTGTAAACGAATACATGTATGCCAGTTTTCTTTATGTCTTTATTTCCATTCCATCATTCTTTATTAACAGGGAAGTGCTACACTTCGTTAGTTATTAGATGGGGTCGTGATTGACTGTTTTGTTTTTGGCTCATGATTATGAATCTAAACTAAAAATCAAAACATGCATTTTCCTAAAATAGAAAATAGTTTCCCACACAACTAGTATCACTTCCTCCCATTTTCTCTCATATTAAGGAGTTGTGGGTGAAGACGACTTGACACTGGTGCATTAATGTATTTTCCAGTGAAACTTTCCAAGGTGTTGGAAAGTTTCAGCATTGACCTTTCGGAAAAGATGATGCAAGATGAAATCATTCAGGCTGTAGCCAAAAATTCTTTCAAAATCATGCAATTTTCACCATTTTGAGCACTTTTCGAGTGATTTTGGGACAAAATTGACAAACAAGACATGTCACACCTTTCCAAAAGATTTTCATTTTTTCTATATAACATCTTAAGTGGAACACTCTCATATGTCTGATTATTCCCATTTCATGCACATTATTCTAAGTTTCTGTCTCTTGTTGTTCCAGGGCAGAGAAATCCACTGTGCTGAGTGATGACCTTGTTAGCCTTGAGAAGAGGGTCGATCTCATAAAGCAAGTCTGCCAAAACTTCACCAAGAAGGTCCAAGGATGTATACAGGGACAGGGTCAGGATGTAGAGAAAAGACTGGTGAGTCTACATACTTGATATAGGTCATTAGTACAGACCCTTTATTATCCTAACAATGTACGATATGGGATGAAGCTCTCTGTTCATCAGTCAGTCTGTCAGTGATGGTAGGCAGTTTTATGAAGAATATGTATTGCCCTTTTCTAATTTTGAAATAAATTTGTACTGAGGTTTCATCCTACTTCAGTTAGATTAATGTGGAAATGTGCCAACAACATTGCTCTGCTGTACATATTATATAGCAAAGATCGAATGGTGTCCAAGCTTTTCCTGACATATGCAATACATATGTTCACTGCTTACATATGAATTCACTTTATGTTTTCAGAAAAAGATTCCAGAGATGCAACTGTCCCACAATATGATAGAGTCGTCTTCATTAGTTGGACCAGATTCACTAATGGGGTATGTATAAACTTATGCACCATTTAAACATTTGTGTGAGTCCCCCCCCCCCTCCAAATGCTGGGAGGGTCTGGACTTTGACATGTATTGTATCAGGGGGCAAGATTTTGGAATAGATTTTGGACTTTTAGAATGCATATTTCCTGCAATAGGAATTCTGATTTTATTTGACCAATTATTGCTCTCAGGATGTCTAAATCCCCACCCCCTAACTATTTGGGGGCTCTCATGCAAACCTTTGAGTGGTACATTATGCCAAGTTATTAGTAATTATTGCTACTTTCTTGCTGTGTTGATGTTGGGTAAAATTCTAAGTTTACTGATACTGAAATATTCCAAACTTGTAAAAGTATCCCAAATTTCCCCGATACTGTTCATCTATAAAGATTTGGGAATTTTGTATTTGGTGTAGAATTTCCTTCAGGTTAATTTGTTTTCATAAAATATGATCAAATATCTTAACCCTTTCACGACGATGGGCTCCATATGGAGCCCTATTATGTAATACCTTTCAGGACGATAGGCTCCTTTTGGCACCATAATTTTTATTTATATACATCGATGAAATGATAATATCTCCAGTTCTATTCAGTATTTTTACACCAAATTTTGACAAGTTGTTCTAATACGATAGTCCTTACTAAAAAATGTATTTCAGTGATAAAATTCAAGGTATAGGTCCCTGGGCATAGGTAATTTTCAGTTTTCCCCTAAAAACTGCTCTTACTTATCCGTCACCAGGGCCAACATTTTCCTCTTATATTCACGTCGGGAAAGGGTTAAATTAATGTTTGAATGTGTATTTCAGTCCTATCTTAGAACTTGGAGGAAAGGCAGAGGGCAGTTTGGGAAGAGAATGCCTCCAGTTTGAGATGGAAATAGAAGAATTTGTGTTGGTGCCCTTACAGTCCTTGTTAGAGGTAAAAATATCATTTTCAGGACTTAATATGCTTTAAATGTATGGCTCTGATGAGTAGATCAATAGTAGATAGTACAGAATATGTTGTGCAGAAAATTATTGTTTTATCATTAAATTTCATTCAGACACATAAGATGGAACCAGATGGGAATACCCCAGATTACATTAGAAACTCTAGAAATTCATTTTTTTCGTAAAGATGGGTTCATTTCCTCATGGGTGCTTAATGCGCAGTATTATTATATAATGTGCTGGAAAATCAAATTGCATGCATCTATCAAACTTGGCTAAACTGTTCGTAGATGATAACTTTTTGTTTCCGAGACCTATTGAAGATTTTTGAAATCCTATTTGCAGAATGACATTCCTCAAATCAACAGACTACGCAAACAGCTCAGCAAACTGACTCTAGACATGGACTCTGCAAGGGGAAGGTCAGTTAGGTTCAATATATCAAATATTATAAGTTGGTTGTGGTCCTATATATTGATATATAAGTTTGAAACTCCATGAAAACTCCGTAAATTTATATAGTTCTAAAAAATATTCGAATTCATAAAAAAATTACCATTTAAGATCTTTAAATACCCATTAAATATTTGAATTCATACAAAATTACCCTTTAAGATCTTTTAATACCCATTGTTTCCAACACTGAATGGCCCAGCATTATTCTGTACAGGCAGTCAGTAAATTACATTCCTGACTTCTGTTGTAAATCCCACTTAATTTTTGTTACTACTGTAGGTACCAAGGGGCCCAGCGTCAGTCTGTAGCGGCAGACAGTAAATCACAGGCATCTGCTGCAGCAAAAGCAGATAACATCAAAGATGAAGTTGAAGATGCAACAACTAGAGTTGAGCAATGCAGAGTGGGTGTTCTTTTAAAATACGAGCATATAGTACATTACTTCTGGGACAACCCTCGTATATACATGTTATTTATTAATTTTAAAAAATAATTTCACAATTGTACAAATTTTTGTTTTATCGGCATTCTTTGATTTCATTTATTTCACATTCCATCTTTAAGCATTCGATAAAATTGGTGAATCAGCAATCTGATAAATTCAGATTTACACTTTTTTTTGTCATAATGACTGCATGGTAATGGAAAATCAACATGGCCAAACTCAAATATATTTCTCATTTGAAGAATATTGCAATTCCTATGTATTAACAGATATCGATTTGAACCCTCTTGATTCAAAATAAATTGTTTATAAGTTTATAAGTAATTTTCCGTCCTAGGCAGACATTGCCTGTATGACAGTTCTGATACTTTTTGAAACTAACGTAGCTTGGGGGCTACTTGTACGCCAGCAATTTCGTAATTGAATTTTAAAGGATGGTGATACCAATGTGCATCTAGGCGGTTCTTGAACTGGTTGACATGGACTGACTGCACTACGTACTCTGGGAGACTGTTCCAATTGTTTGTTACCCTGTGGCTGAAAGTGTTTTGTCTCATTGAGGTTTTGCAGTGGGCTTTTAGGAGTGGTTGGGAATTTCCTCTTCTATTGTGTGTTTCTCTTGCTTGGAAATTAGGTAATGTTGCTGTTGTGTTGACATCATAGTATGAGTTGATGTATTTGAACGTCTCTATCATATCACCACGTAGTCGTCTGTAGGCAAGTGTTGTAAGGTCTAGTGCCTTTAGTCTCTGGGGGTAGGGTAGAGCTTTAAGTGTTGGAACTATACGCGTTGCTCTTCTTTGTATTTTCTCTAGGGCTTCTATATCCTTCTTCATGTAGGGATTCCACACTGATTGTGCAAACTCAAGTTTGGGTCTGACTTAGCCATTGAATAGTAATTTAAATGTATCAGTGTTCCAGTATGTAAAAGATCTTTTTACCATTCCAAGCACTTTGTTTGCATTGTTTGCTATGGTTTTGACATGGTTACTGAATTTGAGATTTGTATCCATATAAACTCCAAGATCTCTTTCACAGTTACTATGTCTAATTGTAGATTTCTGGTCTGAGTTGTTGTCTTTCATCAGGTAGTCGAAATTCCTGTTACTTCTTCCAATATGTAGTACGCCACATTTTTTAGTATTGAATTTTAATTGCCAATCTTGAGTCCATTTTTGAACATTGTCAATATCTCTCTGTAGTAAAGTTTGATCATCTATGGAGTTAACTTTTCTATGGAGTTTAGTATCGTCAGCGAACAGGCTTATATTACTGTGTTTAACAACGTTTGGCATGTCGTTGACATACAGTAGGTAGATCAAAGGTCCAATTACAGTATAATTAAGAGGAATCCACATAAACATGTACTATGATATGTGGTTTCATAATTCATAAATATGTATTCATTTTTATCACACCATCGGTGGGATATAGTCGTCATACTGGTCGTGATCGTGGTCGTGATCGTGATCGTCCCGCTTTTTGTCATCGCCGTTTAAGGAAAACTGCTCATCAGATTTTCTCCAAATTCGCAGAGATGATAGAGCATATGAAGTACTAGAGCTGATTAACTTTTGGGTGGCCATCTTGTTTTCTGGCGGCAATTTTGAAGGTTTTTCGAAAAATCTTGTCAGCGCCATTTCAGGAAAACCGCTCATTGGATTTCCTTCAAATCTACACAAATGATAGAGGATATCAAGTACTAGAGCTGATTTACTTTTGGGCGGCCATCTTGTTTTCTGGCAGCCATTTTGCAGATTTTTCGAAAAATCTTGTCATCGCTATTTCAGAAAATCCACTCATCGGATTTCCTTCAAATTTACACACATGATAGAGGATATCAAGTACTAGAGCTGATTAACTTTTGGGCGGCCATCTTGTTTTCTGGTGGCCATTTTGAAGGTTTTTCGAAAAATCTTGTCATCGCCATTTTAGGAAAACCGCTCATCGGATTTCCTTCAAATTTACACAAACGATAGAGGATATCAAGTACTAGTTTACACTTTTCAGTTTTCCTGGTTCATAGTGTCTGCCTATTTGATGGTGTGATCTCGTTCACGTCCTGTGCCTTGTTTCAATTACTGTTTATAAGTAGAATAAATTCATATTTATTAAATATTTTCTGTTTTCAGGATGCCCTTGCCACAGAAATGTATCACTTTGTGTCCAAAGAGAAGGAATATTGTAAAAGACTGGTAAAGGTAAGTTTTAACAAACAAAATGCAGAAAATGATCTTGAATATTTAAGATATTAAATATTTTAAGTAGAATGTATATGTATCGTATAATAGATTATTCTTCCAATATCAAACAGTTATCTTTCCTATGCAATTTCTCAAATTAATGAGTATTGAATGTGATGAACTTTGGACATACTGTTGATTACCAAGCAAATTTTTTTTACCTCAAGATAGGTTCCATTTGACAGGTAATTGTATATTAACCCATTGTTTGATTCTTATTCTCCAGTTAGTAGAAGTCCAGGCTGAATATTACCGTAAAGCGCTGCAGTCCCTTGAAGATATACTGCCAGAAATGAACTCACATATAGGTAAGACTTATAGGTGTACTTCTTGAGGGTTCAAGTTGTATCTGCAGTTAACAGAGTCTTAAAAGACTGCATTAATGATACAAAAGGTGATATCCTAGCAAATACATGGTGGAAGAATATGTCTGTCTCTAAATCTAAATCTAGACACTATTACATGCTAACAAGAACATCATCTTAACCCCCCCCCCCCCCCCACTTATACTATATTGTGTGTTGCAGACCACTACGAACACATCCCTGTATATGGGGTACCCATTGAGGAACACTTGGCTGTTTCTAACAGAGAAGTAGCTTATGTACTGGAAGAATGTGTTTGTACTCTATTGGAGATAGGAATGGAGGAAGAGGTAGGTCCATTCTTTTATTTTAATTGGTGAATCTGTTGTCATGTGATCAATAGATAGATGATCTGATTGGTTTATTCTGAAGGTAAATGCAATGCACAACCAATCAATTGGTTTGATACTTTACAATGTGAATAGATGAATGTATTTTTAACAATGATACATTTTTCAGAATACTTGAACATGTTTGCATCAATAAATCTTATATCAAATTAATTGATCAGTTCATGAAATCAGTTGAATTTAAACTTAAAACATATTGCAGAGTGGGTATATTAAATCTAATGAATACATCTCTCCTCTTACAGGGTCTGTTTAGGATAGCTGGTGGAGCATCTAAAGTGAAAAAATTAAAAGTAAGTGCAAAAATTCTCATATTATTTCCCCTTCTTTTTTGTTGTTACTTCTGCTCATATATTTATTTTTAAGAAAATTTTAATGTGAAATATAATTTCTGGTTCTTATGTAACATGGGTACCTTTTTAATTTACAAATGTTTCCATGAAGCTCTAAATGTTTCTATTGTTCTCTTATTATGACATCATAATGTTTCATAATTGTTTGATTACAGGCAGCATTTGATGCTGGTATGGTAGACATGGGCGAGTATATACATGATGTCCACTCTATAGCAGGTAATCAAGTGAATCTTTCAATTTTTCTGGAAAGCTTGAATGGCAATTGCTAAGCCAAAAGTGCTTTTTTAGATTATGCTGCGATTTCTATGTCTACAAGAAATTGGCTCAAAATATGAAAAACCAATTTAAAACTTAAACTATCCTTCCATGTTTATTATGTAACATTCAGTTTGCTTTATCTTTCTTTTCACCCTTTCTTGTGGCATATTGATATTTGATTTGGCCCATAATTTTGACTTCATACAATCAATATAATCAAAATTGCTAATATTGGACATAATGAAATAGATCTCAATGTTCATATTTCAGTTTACCTCAGGATATCCCCATACATGTCATTCATCCATTACAGGGGCTTCATTAGCAACAAGCAACAGGCGATTTTCACCAGTCGTTTTCACAAAATTGCCTGTTGTTCATAGGGAGTTTTCAACCTTTTCATGTTACATTTAAGATTTCCATTAATTTTGCCTGTTGTTTTCATTTATAGTGAAACCCCTGTATTATACGTATAACTATTGTTATGTAACTGACTTGTTATTCATTTGTTTCCAGGTTCACTGAAGCAATATCTTCGTGAACTCCCGGAACCTCTAATGACCTATGACCTTTATGGTGAATGGATGCAGGCAGCATCATTGTGAGTGCATACATATACATAATTGCAAATTACAAACTATCTAGACAATTGAAGTAGTATTAGTATTAGTAATTCCAATATCGCTTTTCTAGGATTCGTGAGAGGTAACTTTGATAAGTTCTAGCGCAAAATTCCCACATAGGATTGTGAATTCCTGCATACAAGTGCTAGATTAGAATAAATACTTGAAGAAAATGCAATAAGAATCATTCCAAGAATGCAAGTTCGATGGTGACTTCATTGGTTCGTAACATTGACAGAAAATTCACAAGATTGCATGGCATTTTCTCCACAATTTTGGAATGAAATACTTCCCTGGGATTTAATATATCATTAATGTTTACCAAAGTATACGTACTATAAAAGAAATATTACTTAGATTGTAATTCATAAATTGAAACACCAGGTTAATTAACCTGGTGTTTCAATTTATGAATTACAATGGACATTATGATTATTGGCGTGATTCACGCCAAAATGGCAATCCCTGTGTTCCACGTTAAATGGGGTTATCGTCTCCACTGATATATACACACACATAATTACAAATTAGGGATGAGTAACTATGATTGCATATTAGAGGGGTTCCGCACAATAGGTTGCTAAAATTATCCGCAACTGAATCTCATTTTAATTGAATAACTATGCATAAATCTGGTGAATGCCTCATGGATTAAAGACAAATTTGGTTAAAAACCATGTGCGAAACATCTCTGTTACCCAGGTTTTTTTATTCGTATTAATAATAAGATATGGATCTTAAGAAGTTTTGATGAGAAGCCTTGTCTCAAATAAACCACAAAATCTCTTTTATCTTGCCAAATATATTTACCTTGGTAGTCACTGAATAGTATAGTTTCCATATAGCTTTTGAAATCTCGCTAAATCTCGTTTTTCGTGAGATTTTAAGAGACTTGCATATTAGACCTCTAATGACTTACATTACCTTCTTTTAAATGGTATACAGTAAAACCTGTCCGATGGAATACCTCTCTGTAGGGAAAACCTATGAACAAGGAATGCTTTTCAAAAGAACCAAATATTTTTCCATTGACTTACATGTTAACGGACCCTCTCTGTAGGGAAAACCTGTGAACAGGGAACAAGGAACACTATTTTGGGGCAAATTATGAAAATTCACCTGTGAACAAGGAATATGGAATATTGGTGACACTGTATATTCCATTATTTTTCAGAGGTGTGAAAGTCTTAAGCCAATATCTGGTTCTAAAAATCTTGGATTAATATGATTGAGATTAAGATAAGCCAATTGTTTACACGATGAAGCATCCCACCCACTGTTAATTACCCTGATATATTTTAAAACTAATACTAATCTGTTTGTTACTAATTATCATGACACTAATTCTTCCTTTCAACAAACATAATTACATCAAATCAGTTGTGATAATCTAGGGATTGACACAATTGTTTTATGGAGATAACATATAAGTACATGTGTCATGTTAAGCCAAATCTATCAATAATTACAACAACTAGACATCATCATACGCCAGCAGCAGCGGCTAAAATCAAGATCGGGAGAATGCTCCTTACCCTCAGCTAAAGGAGGGAGGTGGGAGACCTTCATACATCTTCCAAGATGTCACAACAAGTTCTAGCAACCAAGTATGGAGTCGGCATTGGTGAAATCAATTAATGCCCAAATATATACAAAAAATGCTTATTCGGCAATTATGAGTTTGCTGAAAGTGCAGCCCCTCTCTATAGGGAAAACCTCTGAACAAGGAAACTTTCCTCCAGTCCGAAGAGCATTCCCTGTTCGCAGGTTTTACTGTATTTGAATTCAGTGGAATGTTTTCTCCTAAAATAGCTTTGATTTACACAGTTATGTAATTTGAATAATTTTCTATGACAATTTAAAAAAAGTTGGGCCAAATGTCCATAGATGCAATGCTAAAATTCTTTAAAACCGTGGATTATTTGTATGTCAATCAACATTAGCATGTTTAATCACAACATGTTCATAAACAGGGTCATCATGTGGTATATCATTCAAGTTTTATACAGATTCAACAAACACACTTTGATAAATCATGAAATTAAGCCACTTTTCCAAGATTTTAGCATGTAAGTGAATGGAGCTCTAGCCAGAGTTAAAAGCTGAATAAAAGATGGCAGCACGAGATTTCATTGATTTTTCTGCTATTTAGAAACTATCCTATTCACTATTGTAGTTCTATATTCCAGATCAAATGAACAGAGATTACAAGCCCTATGGGTAGTAGCTAATAAATTACCAGCAACTAACTACAACAATCTAAGGTAAGTTTACATATCTGTTATAAGTATGCCATTAATCTAAAAAATATCGATCAATTTGGGATATGCGGGTGTCACAGCCTGCATATGTATTATTTGTTTCATGAAAAAATGAAATAAAATTACTTTAAAATTGAGTTGAATAATTGTGTTACCACCAAGAAGTCATGACATTGTAACAGCCACCATTTTTGTGATCAGTGTTTCAGTTTGGCCTCTGAGATTGGCTTCTGTAACATATTGTCACACTTTTATAACCATTTAGGTGGTGTCATTTATGGTGTCATTTTGTTATACATTTACTCTATTTTTATCTATCAGTATAAGATGAACCAAGAAATAATAACTAATATGAAGACATAGGTCTATGTTTAATGGCCACTAAGTTACAGAAATAGAAATACACACTTACATCTATAATTTTGCTTTCTTTGTAACAAAGAAATTTTTTCCTATTTATAAAAAAGATTTTTGATGTTAATTGGAAGTATATTTTGTTCCAGTGAGTTTATCTTTATTTTGCATATCTACAAAAGTTTATATTCTTCTTTCAGATATCTTATAAAATTTTTGTCAAGACTGTCTGAAAATTCTGATGTGAATAAAATGACGCCAAGTAATATTTCTATTGTGATTGGTCCAAATCTGATGTGGGCGAGGGACCAAGATGGGTGAGTATAAAAATTTATACTACAGTACATATACATTTATGGGATTCTAAATAATAGTATTCATACAGTTCATGGTATCGCCAGCTGATTATTTGATAGAGTATATAGAAAATAGCATGACAACTGAAATTCAGTTCTGGATGGTAGGTTACAAATCCTTAAGAAAAATCCTTCCCTGTTTCTTTGTTTTTGTTATAGTCCATAAGATTTTCTTGAAATGATTTTTCAGGCCAAACATTCGCACCACTGGATCCATGAGTGCCATAATTGAGTCTTTCATTCAACATGCAGATTGGTTCTTCCCTGGGGGTGAGTGCACTGAATTCAACAGCCAATATATTTGATAGATTTATGAAAGAAAAATGAAACATTGAATATTTTACCTCTGTTCTCCTCTTCATGTTTATTTTATTCCAATCGTTATAAAATTGCCTAATTTAAAATCTAAGAATATAAAGCTCTTCCAATTGAGTTGTTTCCTCCCACTTCATCTTTGCTATTGGTTAGTGTCCCTGGATGGCAGCTAAATGTTGTTTTACAGGTATTATTTCACAATATCTTGAATGCTTGTCAGTTTTGATTAATTTATACATGACTTTAATTTGGTGATTTTGGATTGTTTTTCGTTTTTCTTTAATTATGTCAATAATCATTCTGAAATAAAATATTTTTGTAATTACTTACTGCAAGTGATTTCATACTTCAAAAATTTCCATAATTTGTGATATCTCAAAAATATATTAACCGTTTCACAAATTGGTCCAGGATGCATTTTCGTAGTAGTTTGACAGGAAATCAGTCAATGATAATAAAGGTTATACTTCAGGTAGTTTTACTTGGGCATTTGGCTTGTTTTTGTGACTCATGCATTATTGTACCCACTATCTATTAATTATCTATTCAGGGAAGTATGAAATCTTCTTGTAGACTCAAATCTCTTTCAAAGATGATCAAGTTAGACTCCAATTAAATTTTTTTAATGAATCATATACTTCTTAACTAAACGACTGATCTGTTCACAATTTTCATTAATTGATTTGCTCTTTTCATTGATAATTGATATTATTAAATATATTAATTGGTGTTTGATTCCAACATTTTTAAGGGACCATGTTAATATTGCAAATTTTTACCAAGCGTGGTAGTTAATACCATTTCAGGTTGACCGCACCATCTCCAAACAAATTCAAACAAAATTTTTATTTTTTTGGGATATTTATCGTTTTTCCAAAATTGAAATTCACTTTCTTTAAAAAATGGTGTACTGGTATGCAAATGATTTGTAAATTATGTTTCTGGGGAAACATTGACATATTGACATTGTCCCTTGTTATCAGTATGTTTTTTGAAAAAGTTCAGAGATCGAGCTATTACATACGCAATTATCCACAAATATTCAGTGTTGTTTGTTTCTTGGCTCAGATGTCGGCTTTCAGCCCCGGTTGCCCAAAAGTAGTCCCAGCTTGAAAGATTGGAATTATGAACAAGATGGCAACCGTAGCATGACACGCAGGAAAAAACCCAAGCGTAACACATCACTGCGCAGTGCTTTTGGCTTGATGCACCGCTCGGCTGTGACACCTATAGCCAATCATGCATCTGATCATGATAGCACCCCAGAAAGACACACAGACACTGATGATGTGCCTGAGAAACAAACAGACACGAGTGATAATTCAGATTGCTCAGATAAAGAGCCAAATAAATCTCAAAGTATAAATGACCTTGAACAGTCCCGAAGTGAATCTTCTTCCCTATCTTCATTGACTGATGAACCTACTGTAAGAGTTCTTAAAAAGCATGACCAGGACAGTGTGATTGCAACTATAGCAGAAGAGGAAGATACAGGCAGCTTAGAAGGTGATATAACCCCTACCAATATGCCTCCCCTACAGGCATGTCCGGTGAAGTTGAGACGGAGGAGTGATGGGGATAGAATAACGCCAACAACACCCCCTCAGAGGGACAGTTTGCCTCCCCCACCCCCTCCACCCTCTAACTTCCACTCTGATGTTTATGATACTGTGTTTGCCTTGCAATCTCTTGGGGACTCTGGGTGGTCGGATTATCTTCATCGAGTGCGGACATTATGGGATGGGCATATTAGCCAACGTTGTACATCAACATCAGCGTCTATGGAGGGAGGCCTTAATGAACCAACAAAAGACTTCAGAAGAAACAGTCACTATGACAATGTGCCATGTACAGGGGAGATGGAGAATGGGGTGTGTCATGAGAGTGATGTGGTGTGTCATGATGAAGGTGAGAGTGAGGCTGAAGGCTGTGGAATGTCGGCTTTGGATCCTCCCCTCTAATCGCTTGTAGGTGCATCGTTGTCATGTAGCATTGTCCTGTAACGCGTAACGCATGGCATGTAGACGCATGGTGTACTATCACACTGCAGCATGGAATGTGTTTTTCTTCTTTCCTGTGGAGGACATTTCGGGTTTTCATACACATATTGTATTTATTTTTTTACTTTATGTTGTAATAAGGGTCTCCTCAATACAGTGTTGAAAGTGGATTATAGTTTGATGCATCCTTTATAAAACCTTATAATCAAATATATTTACATGTTTAAAAATTACTAATACAATAAATCTGAAAATATATGCTACCGATAGTAATAACCAGCTTCATTTACAGTACATTGCAGTGGAGTACAGTACAGTATAGTATAGTATTGTATAATACAGTATTATACCACAATACAGTACAGTACATTATAGTATAATACAGTACAGTACAGAATGTTACAGCACAGTACAATATAGTAGTACATATTGAAGTGACCCTTTGATATATTTTGTACATGTATTTATAATTATTAACATGTTTAGTATTTATAATTTTTTAAGAGTTAAACCGACAAACTGTTCATCTTCTGTTTCAAAGAACCCATTATTAGACTCATTTTATATGTACTTCCAATGTCAAAAAGGGAGAAACTGAATGTACAATTTAGATCCCAAGTTGAAAGCGATGTCCATCATGACCAGGTTTCCCGTATTCAACGATATTTTGTAAATTTTCAAAAATGGAAAAAGTAAAAACAATGAATTTTTATTATATATTACAGAATAAAATATATGTATATTACTAAACAAAATCCAAATAGGTGAATGTTTGAATCAAACGGCCATCACCATTATGCCACATCAATCAAAAGAGCAAGCCAGAACAGATCAAGATATTTATCATCAAAGATTCAATAAATCAAGAATATCTTGTTTAAATTAAAGAAGTTAGTCTCAAATGAATACTAGTTCATGTCTATATTAGCCTCAATGTGTGCTTATCTGCCTAAATGTATAATCAATGCAGCTTATGAAATATATTTCTATATTTTTCACAATTCCTTCTCGTTTTATGTTTTAGTATAAATAAATGTGTACATGTATATTTGTTATTATACTTTGTATGCTTTTGTCTGAACTGAGTTTGCATTTTCTCCTAAGTGAAATATTATTTTTAGCTTTACCTCCCTGTTAGCATTTTAAGTGAGAATAAATATAATATGGTCTTTAAAATTAAATGGCATGTGGCTGTAAAATAAGAATGAAAATAACAAGACAGTATGTTTGTTTTTGACTAGCGTAAGTTGGTTATCATCTAATTCTGATTCTTGTCTATATCTCATCTTGCCCTTTTACATAATGTGAATTACATAATATGTCCTCTCATTTTCGTAAAAATGTTAACATACCACATAGAAAAACTAATAACCTGGAGTATTCCACATTCTGTTGTGGACTGTCAATATGCAATGATAGAAAATGGGGGTGGTTTACTAGGGAAACCCTCATAGGTTTTTTAACCAAATAAATAATAAATAGGAAATTGCATCTTCTCATCAATTTGAAAAAGAATCAGAATTAGAAAATAAACTTCAGTCGACCAACCGACCACTAGCCTTGCCTTGATTTGAATAACAAAGTTAAGATAAATGTATTTACATGTAGATTTGCAAGTTTTAATTGGCTTTACAGTTTACCTGTTACATTAATAGATATTAATTTTTGAAAAATTAATTGACATCAAATAAGAACTAGTCACATATTTATTTTTCAGAGATCGATTTCGGAGGAGCTACAACCCCCGGCCCCAGTACCCCTTCTAGTCAGCATAGTCCAGCGGAGCAACGTACCGATACAGGGAGTGTTCAAACTACACATAACAGCGGTGCAGGGAGTGGACATAGCCCACAGAATAGCCTAACTGTGCATTCTCCCCAGCTTTTACAAACCGGGTATAAATATTAGCTTCTTTATTTCAATAATATTGTTGTAGATGTAGTATTTTCTATAATTTATTAAAATTGATAAATGATAATGCAGCATTGCCTTTATGCATGCAAAGTGAATAAAAATTTATCTTCATTTTCATATGGTTGATGCTTTTATTATCAATGAAAAATGGATTCATTTCAATTGTATATGTCTGATCAGAATATTGGTAGTATCATACTTGCAGCTATAACACAAGTAAACTGGTATTTTAGATCTAGCCCAAGGCCTAAAAAGAGGGCCCCTGCTCCCCCAGGTCGCCCAGTTTTGGCTGGAAAAGATGCTATAACTGGCATCAGCCGATCATCTTCTGATTCCTCATTGTTGGACAATGTTTCACTGAGTAGTGATGATGCTAAGGAGCCCTTAGACAGAGTATCTTCTATAAAGGCTCCTTCACAGGAACACAAACAGCCCAGTTATGTGTATGACACTGATACTCAATCAGTTAAAGAAATGACAGATACTAGAACAATAAATGAACTTAAAGATGAGCCTACTAAAGAAAAAAACATGGCTATGGCTAAAGTTGACCATGTGCCTGCACCAGCTGTGTTCCCAATTCAGCGTAAACCAAAGAACCATGTCTATGCTACAATAGATGATATTGCACCAGAGAGACCCACAGCACCCCCAAGGTCACCCCAACCTTCCCCTACATCTCCCGAGGCTAAGCTGATAAACCAACCAACTGCTGCTCCAGCACTAAGTGTCCCCCTAGAAATAGAACCTGATCCTGATTATGAAGCCATAAATCCTGTCGCCCCAAGCAACAAACCAGCCCCACCACGCAGGCCCTCTATTCCCCCCAGCAAACCACCCCCACCTTCTAATAAACCAACACTTTACCCTAAGCTTCCCACCCTTGATGACACACCTGTTGAACCCTCAGATACATCCCCCAACAAAGAAACTGAGAAAGTGATAGTAAAACAGGAGATAGAAGATCTCTATGCTGTGGTCCATAAGCCTCCAAAATCTCAAAACAACAACAATAACCAAGGTGCAGAGTCTTTATACGACAATGTAACTACCAAGCCTGTTGTTCCTCCAAAAAAATATATCTCAGAACTTCAACATGACAGTAAGCAGCCATCTAAAGATGGAGATGTGATCACAGATGTCATCCTCGACAACTCAGCTACTAATGCTACTATCAGTGCTACCCAATCATCAAGTGCTGCTCATAATGACATCAAAATAATACCCATCAATGACCCTAGCAGTTCTCACGATCACTCAACCACAAATGTCACATCAACTTCAACCCCTAGTGTCAGATCAACCCCTTATGTTGATTCAACCCCAAATCTCACACCACCTTCAAATGCCACTTCAAACCAAAATTTCACTTCAACCCCAAGCGTCACATCAGATGTCACTTCAACCCCAAATGTCACATCAGTCTCGAATGTCACTTCAGCCCCAAATGTCACATCAGTCTTGAATGTCACTTCAGCCTCTAAAGTCACTACAGCCCCAAATGTCACCTCCTCCCCAAAGAAACCAAGAAAGCTTAGAATGGCTCCCCCTCCTCCATCTGATCCGTACCAAGGCAAAAGAAACATTTTATCAGAAGACACTGATTTATAAACTTACATGGATGATTAAGGACATGTACATACATCTAAGAAACTCATCTGCGCACTTGTTTTTAATGATTACATTGACATTTGAACTATGAAACACTTTGGATTGCCATTAGTTGATTTTCCAGTTCAAAAAAAATAATGGCTTTTGAATGTTTTTCCTTCCGATGACATCACAACATCGGGGATTGTGATTGGACCTACTTCCAATGTGGCATTCATTTGAAGTTCAGATTTTCATATTGCTAACTGTTATTGCATAATTTTTATATATATGATATTAACATATACATTGATGTACATATAGCTAAGAACATATAACTTTAATCATGTATATTTCCCAATATTTGAGATCATGTATATATAATTATATATAGTGTATATATTATAAAGGCTATTTATATACCCTTAATTAATATTTAATGAATAATTATTATAAATTGTTGAACCAATTAAATGCTTTACAATTGAAAATTCATTGTAAATGCTTTACAAGCATTGATTCTTGATTGTGCATGCTTTATGATATGTGGCAGTCCTCATATTTCAAAAAACAATAGTACATAGGATTGATTTTTAAGTTAACTATAAATTGCAGAGGCTATCATGCTGCTGAGGCTATATAGTTATATGCTGGTGCTTTCATTGCAGGATTTAGGTTTGCAGAATTCTGTTAAATTCAACCTAGAAGATATGTTTAATATTTGGAGAACATTGGGCATATATTTAGTTAAGGACATACAGTAAAACCTCCTAGTGGAACACCTCTGTTTGTGGAACACTGCTCCATAAGGTTATCATTAACTCAATATAAAGTAAATCTACTGGTTCACCCCCAAAATGCAATCTGATTTTCGACGCCGTTTCTGTGACATTTCGGCACCAAATGGACTGACTAGTCCGGTGGCAAATTTTAGTGTCGAAAGGTTTCGGTGCTGGAATGGTGCTGAAATGGTGCTGGAACAGCGCCAAATTTTTTCGATGCCGAATTATATTAGCTGTCTTGAACACCTTCAATGAGGAAAACTATTTTGAGATACCAAAGGTGTTCCACTTGGATAAGTTTTACTGTACACTATATTGAAAGGAAAGGCATTCTAGGCATGTACGCCTCAAGTTTATATGAAAGAGTACACCCAATGCTTTTCGATTCAATTTGCATCATTATAGATGTCATTTAGCGATATTCATAATTTGTTGGTTTGTATATGTTAAGGTGGGTTATAGCTTGGTGGTAGTATATTAGTTAAGTTGCTTGCTTTCTTTTTTCAGTGCATCGCCAAGCCCAAAGCAACAACGTAAATCTTCCAAGTTGAAACCTGCCCCCCTTCCCCCAGTAGATAGGACAACACAACCAGAAAGACCCCCTATAGCAAAGACACTTTCCCATGAGCCGCCATGCACAGAGGGACTCCTTATAGGGAACTTAAATCCAGTAGAAAGATCAAAGTCTGATGTGAGCCACTCTGAGTCTCCACTCATAGACATTAGTGACACTCCACAAGTTCAAGTGGCGTCACCTCATGAGGGACCTCCAGACAGACCTCCGATACCAAATCGGCCATCATTATCAGAAAAACCACACATGCATGTGCAGCCACCAGAACGGCCATTAGGGCGTCCCCCAGTTCCCACACAAGCACATGTACCCCACCCTGAGAGACCTTTAGGCCCACCCCCAGATAAACCATCATCCCCACCCTCTTTAGGTACCCCAGAGGGTGATAAACCACTTCCTGTACCACCCCCTCCTGCCAGGAAAAGTAGTCATAAACCTAATAAACCCCCTCCTCCACCCCCTGGGAAAATATGCAATGATGATGAAATAACAAGTTTATAGAGTCTCAATAGTATCTTACCATTCACTACATTGCTCATTTTAACCCCACTACTAGGAGCCGAAAAAATTCATGTTTACATTTCTTTGTACAAAATAGCTCATCATAAATTTATAAAATTCTGTGGTTCTTGCCTTTGTGTGAAATTCTTTGTACATGTTAATTCTCTTGCTTCAATGTTTTTTTAAATCACTTTTATTGTACATAAATACAAAAGTTATGTGTACATGGTGGGTCAAAAGTGTATTTTGGCCAAAAATGCATTTTGACCAAAAACGCATTTTGGCCCACCCTCTATATGCATTTAAGATTTTTATGTAATTGTAAGTATGGTCAGTGCTTCACTCATGTAAACTTTCATTATGCATTGATTATATTTGAATTTTTAAAAAAGAATTTTATAGTACATTCTTTGGCAGTTTGGCTTCCTACCTCTCATTCTTTGAACTAGGCTAGGCCTTTCCAAGTTAAAATTCATTTAGCATTATCTTTATTGGGCTATTTGTACAATCCTGAAATTTTGGGGAAATTACAAAGATTTAAAATGACTCGATTGATTGGAACTTATCCAAAGATACATCTACCTCTTTAGGTGGATTAAGATTAGGGTATAATTAATCCCAAAGATCATTTGAATTCATCCTACAATGCATTGTTATTTTTGAGAAAGTACAGATTACTTTGTGGATAGTACAGATTCACAGCCAATGTTATCCCAAAATTTTGTGTTCAAACCTTTTTGACCATTTTGGATTTTAGATTTTTTGTTTGTGTAATTTTGACATGCATTTTGAAAAAAGAAAGAAAAGGGCCTAAGAGTCTAACAATTAACCTGTATTGTAAGGGCCTTGTGATTTTATTTTCCATGTATCAGTAATTTGGTGACTGTTAGTGTAAAAAGACTATTAGATCATACTAAGTGCAGTATACTTTTGTAAAAGTAGGTAGTTTCTGAATTAACTGATTTGTGCTACTTCTATGTGACCTCCATCCTCTGGATGCAGTGCTCCAAACACCATCTACTTCAATGGAGCTGAGTCACACTAAGACCCTGTGGGCTCATCGTTCGCCTTCATGTGGATGGCGGAGCATGGCAGGGATACACAGTGGGCAAAACAAATAGTCCTACAGTCCCCCGTCACACCAAATAAAAAATTGATCAATTCAAAAATTAATGCCCAAAATTAACCACATGGAAGTCAACTGTGAGCCCATATGGCTAATGTGACAGCTACTTTAAGTAAGAAGGAAGGAATAGAATGGATGATGAAGTCCTGTATTGGATGGAGGCTTTATAATTATGTTTATTGTACAATATATACTAGAATTGAAACATTGATTAAATTGAAGCAGCATTATAAGATTTGTTATCAAAAATTGTCTATTTTGAGTAACCTAACATTATTTGACTGAGTAGGTAATTTAATTATAGTGTTACAAAATTATTGATATCGAAATAATGTAATTTGGTGTGTTTTTAATTGTGGTTGATTTGATTGATGAACAAAACACATGGTGTATATTAATACTGAAATTGGTTTCATAAACCACTGTTTTTTTCAAAAATATTGTGAGAAAATAAGAGAGAAGCAAAGCAAAAAACTCCTCAAGATTGAATAACTTTATATAAATTGACTGAAAATTGAAAAAGTTTAACTGCTCAGCTGACTGATTTATTATTTTTATGAAAAAATGGAAAACTGGAGTATACTGATTGTTTTTCATTCTCAATAAAGCTCAAATGGTACAATAGGAGTGAATGGGTAAATGCCATGGTGCCAGAAATGATGAATATTTTCCTAGGAGATATCCTATAAGACTATGAAAGCTTGCCATTCAGTATATTGTTTTTAATGAATTTAGATAATTTTTTCAAGTAATGATATGTAAAATCATAATCTTCGTAGGATTAACATTACACACAATGAGCTCAATATTGTTCAAACGAGGTACCCCTGATTACCTGTTGATTAATCTCATGAATTTATTGGAACTCCGCAGAAAAATTCATGTTGTTTCAAGTCATTATTTTCAACTAATCGGTGCAATATAATATTGGCATATTTTTGTTTTTGTAGTCATTGTCAACACTTATATGGACTTTTAGCTCATTTGATTTTTCTTTTTGGAATTTTTTTTATATTAGATTTAAATTCATGAACATATAAACAATTTATTGTGCTCTATCAAATAACTAACATGAATTTGGGATACTACATGTATAGGCCATATGATGCCTTGCAACATGGCCTCCGAATAAGCCAATGCATCACTAGTCTTGGATTTCTTGTATAAGAGATGTCTTGTTGAATTTGTATAAAGTCTATGAATATGTATGCATCAAGTCTCTCCACCCCCTCCCCCTTTAGCATTATCTATTGCCACAGCAATTGTGTTGAAATGATTATGGGGGGGGGGGGTTCAGTGCAGAGTCTCTATGCATGAGTCTGTATTATTATGAACATTTTCGATAATTATTGTACATAAATGTATATTTTGCTATTTTATATCAACTTTTATAAAATGACTAGACATTCAGTCTAATAAGTTTTATCGCCAACATCATTTACTGTTACATAGTTGGCATTCGATTCAGATGGGTATATCAAGTGAGAATGGTTCATAAATTAGATGACTGGTTTTGTATTCTTTACTTTAGAACGTTAATTTTGCAAATTGTACATTACAGTTAGGACCAACCCACCGCTTACAGAAAGTCCAACTATTGTTGTTCAGTTAAAAGTATGAGTAGAGCTCATAGCAAGTTTTAGAGAGTACAGTTAAGGTGGTCCTTTTTGGCTGGGTTCGGTAATGTTACTAAGTTATTTACCCAGATTATTCATTCAACTATGCCTACCTTAATTATCATATTATCTCTGCAATCTGTATGAAATATGCCACCAGTACGGAGATCCGAAAATGCATATCTGTTGCTTCTCAAAATAAGTTCATTTTAGGCAATGGAGAGTTCAAGGTAGACTAAGAGGAGTACTTTTTAAACCAAGCATACTTGTTAATATGTTAACTAGCCATATTATTAAGGAGGTTAAGCTACACATTATTAAGAGAACTTGCATGTTAATATGCAGGATTATGAGCCACTGGGGATTAGTTCTCCCCTTTAGCTAGCTGAAATTTTTTTAGAGGGGGGGGGCAGAAACCCCTGGGGGTCATAATATCACACATTGGGGTACAAGTTCTTTTAAAATGTGCAGTTTTAACCTTCATATTCATTCTATGTGTCATACCTTAAATTTGAAAATGGGAGATAAAGGGAGAAAAGTGTTTTTTGTTAGAGGAATAAAACTGTTTATTTTGAAATTGCAATGCAAGAATGGATTCAAGGAATTGTGTAAGGGACACTTGATGTTTTAAAGCAATATGGAATATGTGATATTTCATTAGAGTACGATTTTTTGTAACATAAATTATGTAAAACAAATATGATATGATAATATATTATATATTAGAATTCAAAAGAATATATTATATCAATATGTGATTTATAAAATATATATTGTTTGTTTGTTTGTTTGTGTGGAAGATTTCTCACTCTGGGTATCATTTTAAAATCCTAAGAAAACGTCACAATTTACTTTTACTCAAAGGTTGTGTTATAATAAGATAATACTGTGGATAACGCTCACTTCTGTTTGAGGTACAATAACGATTTCAACCCCCCCCCCACACACACTTATAAATTTTTCCATTGCTAAACCAACTCCTTGTAATGTTAAGTCAAGTCACCAGGGGCGGTCCACCCACGAGAGGAGGGGCTCTTCGATATAACCTTGGAATAAAATAAAAATAGTTCAGTACAGCGGAACATCGAGTTAAAAAATAAATTGTGACGTTTTCTTTAAGTTAAATCAAAAATATTTTTGGTCCCCCATCAGGCGTGCCCATAGCGGACAAATCTGCCCAATCCACCCAGTGAAAGAATAATCTGCAATAGAATGCATGGAAACGTGTAACTTGAATGATCATAGTATCTGTATTATCAAAATATACGGGGGTCCCAAACAACTACAGCTCACTTTTCATAGCCGTAGGCAGCGGGGGTTCGGTGGGTTCGAACGAACCCCCGGTCAGGATTTCCCAAAATATCATTTTGCGGAAAAATGCATATAACCAGAAACATTAAATCACTGTGCTATTTGAAAACTACATATATGGGCAGTAAATGAATTGATGTTTGTCTTGGTGAACACGAGAGCCTTATTTTGTTGAAGACATGTCATAGTGAAGTTACACTTCCCTCAAAACAGTTGGCAACCTTAGGCACGGGATGAGATTTTGGGAAGACCCCAGAGCATGAGATTTTACATTTAGAAATAACAATAATTTCGCACAATTAACTTAAAAGCTGCTTCTTCTCGGACAAAATAACCCATCTTGGGCAATGGCTAAATCAGTCCTTTGTAGGAATTTTGTCTTAAGCCAGTTCTGGTCCAATACGAAGTTATTGAAAGTTATTGAAAATAATGCTAAGACATCCCATACTCCGAATGATTTTTACAACATTAATGAGTATATATCTGGAATAGTCGTAATATTGATGAAACACATGTTCTTTCAAATGTGTACATCTCTGTTTGGTTTTATTTCAATTAAAATTTAAAATATTTCTTGGGACATCCCTTGGGCTGGCAAGTTCCCGAAACCAATTGCGTTAAATAATTAAAAACGTTGTGAAATGAATTATTTAAAAGCGTATATCATTTATAAACACAAGCATTTGTTCCATTTATTCATTTGTTCATTTGTTCAGTATTTATTTACCAATCACTTTTCCAAAGAAAAATCAATCATTGCAAAAAATGATTTTTTTTTTCAGATACACTCCACTCATCTAAGAGATGGTATAGAATAAATTACATAATAAAAAAAACATTGAAAAATCATATGGTATTAATTTTCAAATAATGAAGGCCTAATTTGTTATCAAGCCGTTTGAACTTAACAAAATACGTTTTATATTCGAACAGTCGCTTGTATTTATATA